TTTACATAGATGGAGCTGCAAGAGGCTGAGATGCAGATTCTTGAGAGTTGAGTGAAGAGCTGGTTGAGAAAGGGTTTAGATGATATTGTGAGAAAAGAAATTACTCTTCTGCTTGTTGCTTTGATGGAATGGGAATAGAAAAGCAGTGGAAGTTCTACAGTCATTTGGAGAGACACGTGCATTACAATAAAGTAAATTTATGATGACTGAATTACCTTTGTTTGTCCCACTTTATCTCCAGCATAAAGTACAAGTTTTATTAGCCGTGTTCGTCCTTTTGGTTATTCGCTTATAAACAAGAGAATATTCGTCCCTAACAAAAAAGAATAAGAAGATCAAAACGCACTGAGCTGACTTCATAATTGACCAATTTTTTTGACATCTTTGAATATTTTCGAGTAAATTTTCACACCATATGTTGAACTAACGTTCCACATCAAGAACTTTATTATGTCTATACAAAAAAAAAACTTACACAACTGATATCGTCACAAAATAAAAGGTTTGACTTCTCGAAATACTTTATATTTTCACTTTAGCCATTCAGTGCATGCTTGATGCTTCAGAAAATTGTAAGTTGTTTATATCATAATAACTCCTTTTATTTAATAAAAATGGTCAATGACCATAATTTTTTTAAAATTAGAAAATAGATACTACATAATAAAATTGAGAAGATAAGAAATAATTTTAATTGTATCGGAGTATATCTCATAGAATCGAACAATAATAGGGAATGTTGGTGTAATATGTTGAAGATGAAGGAAGCTAATGATTGGAACATGTCAAAGGAACAGGTTTAAGGAAGCAGACTAACGTGTTTACTGTTGTAGAGTTAGAGTCACTAGGACTAGACTAATAAATCCTAACTTATGTATGACTAAGCTGATGTATTGTGTATGGGGCTAAAGTCGACTAGGATAAGGTGTTTTAGTTATAGTAGTAATATTATTCATGTAAATAATATATTTGTATTGTAGTAGGACTACTAGTGTAGCTAGTGTAGGACTTTTTTCCTATATTAGGAGCATGTACTCAACAATTTTAATTATCAATACAATCATTGATTTCTCTATGCTTTATGTGAGAATTCTACATGGTATCAGAGCATTAAAATATTTTGCTCTTTAACGTGTTAGATCCAAAAAGTAGAATAACCACAATATCGAATTGCAATGGTCTCTTCTACCAACACCCTATTAACCTCCTCACTTCACTATCTTATTGCGTCTTGTTCCATTAAACTCAAGCCAACAAATTATCTTATATGGAGAACACAAATGTCTCAGTTGATTCAAGTGATGAGATTAACCTATCTCATCACAAAGAATGAACCAACTAAAAGTACCTATTCCATTGGACATACTATTGAGAAAGTTGTACCGATCGAGAAGGATGCAGAAGACAATAACAATATTGATGGTTGGGAAGAGAAGGATGTGTTGCTAAAAAGTTGGATCTCAGACTCCTTAACAAAAGAAATCATGTACCTGATTGTAGGTTGCTCAACTGCCAAGGAGATGTGAGAATGCTCGGAAAAATCTTATCTTGAAGCAACGAAAGATAAGGAGTTCCAGCTCAAACAACAACTGCAAAGTGTTAGGTTAGGAACCAAAAAGATTGATTAATATATTAAGAAATTCAAAGGCATATGTGATGGCCTTACAACCATTCACAAGCCTATGTATGAAGATAAAAAAGTAAGTAATTTTGCTAGAAGTTTAGGTCTCAAGTACAAGACCTTCAAGACTTTCATGCTAAGTAAGACACCATATCTCACTCTTAATCAATTTGTTAATGCTCTCAGGGATTTTGATATGAGGTGGATGAAAAAGAAGTGCCACAACAAAATCATAACGTGGCATTCTCTGCCCAAAGGGGCAGGGGGAAGAGGAAACTACTCTAAAAAAAAAGGAAATAATAACTTCAATTTCAGAGGAAGAAGCTTTAAGCCTGCTGGACAAGGAACAAGTTTTTATAACAAATATGGACTAGGTTCTCAGAACAGTCCTTCAAGTGAAAGTCAAGAGAGGAACAATATTGACAAGTGCAAAATTTGTGGTAGGAATAACCATACTACTCTTAAGTGTTTCTATATGTAGGACTACTCTTACCAAGCTGTAGATAAGCTACCACAAGCATTAACTGCTATTAGTCTACAAAACACTACCAATGACACCTTGTATGTGGACTTAAGAGCAAGTAGTCATATGACATATAGCTCAAGTATTCTAACTGGTCTTAAACACTACAATGGACCAGATAAAATCATTATTGGGAATGGATCAAAGTTAGACATAACACATGTTGAGAACATATCAAGATCATGCCTAAAGTTAAGAGAAGTTCTTGTAGTTCCTAAGATAAATAAAAATCTACTATCAATTAGTAAACTTGGAAAGGATAATTGTTGCACTTTTGAATTTGATGAAACTAACTTTGCTGTAAAGGACAAGAAGACAAGGTCACTACTGGTCAAGGGATGGACTCTATGCTTTGGAAAATAACAATCTCTTTGTTAAACTGTTGCACACGATTGGAACACATCAAACAACATGTGGCATATTAGATTAGGACAAGCTAGTTTGAAATCTTTAAAAGTTTTGAGTAGTAATAACTATATCAATGTTAGTAGTTGGAATAAAATGTCTATTGTTTGTTCTAGTTGCCAGTTGGGCAAGAGTTGTAAACTTTCATTTGGTTTGAGAAATAAAATTGAGAAGGAACCTTTATCGAAAATTCATTATGACTTGTGGGGACCTGCTCTCGTTGAATCTTCTCAACATGTGAAATATTTTGTCGATTTCATAGATGATCACATAAGATATAGATGGATTTATCCATCGAAAATGATATCTGAATATTTTGAAGTCTTTGTAAAATTCGAGAAAATGGTGAAAAATAATTTTCTAAAAGAATTAAGATATTTCAGTGTGATGGAGGTGGTGAGTTTATCAAAATAGAATTCATCAAGTATTTGGAAGATTGTGGCATTATGAGACATATTTCATGTCCTAACACACCTGAACAAAATGGAGTTTCAGAAAGAAAACATAGGCATATTATGGAGTATGTCTTAACTCTACTACTTCATGCTAACCTACCTTTGTTTCTATGAGTTAAGACTTCCCTCACTACAGTGTTCCTCATTATTAGATTGCCCTCCTCATTCCTAAAAATAATGACTCCATTTGCTACGTTGTTTGGAGAGCAACCTGATTACAATAGCCTAAAGGTGTTTGGGTGTAGATGTTTTTCATATATCAAGGATAACAACAAATTCAGTCCAAAGACTTACCCTTGTGTATTCATAAGGTACAACAACTTACACAAATGATATAAATGCTATCATTCCCCTACAAGGAGGTTGTATGTATCTAGACATGTGTTTGATAAAAACCCATTACCCTATGTGTCTCCAAATCAATCTCAGACTAACATTGATATCTCACCTCACCTATGCTACTTTTGTTGAATCTTGCTCTAAATTGTAAGTACATGATAATCATAATTCATGGGAAGTACAACTGATTGTACACAAGTTACTGGTGAAAATGCTACTACAATAACCCATATACTCCTTGATGATGAGAGTGTTATTGACTTCTCAGTTGAAGGATCAAATGATGACCATGAGAAATAGGTCAAAGTGATGATTCACACAGAGGTAATGTAACCCAGATTGATAAGGCTCAAATTCCAGATTTAGGATCTGCTAGTGACAGTAGGGAACAAGTTGCACGTGCAGGTCTAGTCAATGGTGATTTATCAAATCCCACTTTCTCTGTGTCTAATTCACAAAGAATACATTTAGAAGTTGGCTTCTCCAAGTGGAATATGCTTAGTCATCATCAACATGAAGATACTACACTACAATCAACTACTTCAGTTGATGTACATCCTGCACCACAAGGGCATCATATGATCACCAGACATAAGGCAAAAGAAGGACACCTATCATTTGTTGCTCACAACAGCAAGAAGATCTTGAGGGAACCAAATACACTAAGGAAATACTAAGCGAGAGAAAACTATATATACAAATACATATTTTTTCGTTCTATATACTTATAATTATACAAATGCAAATCTTCCCCTACCACTTCTCTTTTGCCTTTCTCTCTTTCTCGTTTTATACAAACACAAATTATACAAATTACAATGTATAATTTGTGTTGTATAAAACGACAGAGAGATTTGATATACAAATGTTTTATTTCCATTCAATTGTATACAAATTCAAAATTTATGCAGATATACAAACACAATCATTAATACATATACATAGTAGTTACATATATACAATTATTTAACCGATATACATATACAATTGTTGCTCTTTCATACAAACAAGATGCTCGCCTATGATTTATACAAATTTGATGCTTCATAGCAAACTATGTTTGCTATGGAGCTCAAATAACAAAATTGTAGCTATATAGCGCTAATATGATTTTTATGTTTGCTAAATCTAAAATTTACTCTAAAAAATATCTTCCAAACGAAAAAGGGTTAAAAGTGTCCTTAAACTATGTGAAATGAACAAAAATATCTTCCATTTATGGTTTGGTCTAAAAATGTTTTGCAGTTAATACTTTGATCTAAACATATCTTTATTGTTACTTAATAGGTCAAAAACCCTTTTCAAATAATTATATTATTTATTTTCTTTTTAACACATTCTTTTTCTAATAATATTTTTTAATTAACAAATATTAATCCTACTTCAATTCGGAAAAAACAAGAAAATTCCTATCTTATTATAATTATTTTATCCTTATATAAATAAAAACTAATCGTGTATTTATTATGATCTTATAAATATGACATATATTATGACATAAGTTATCTGTTAAAAGAGATATAGAATTATTCTATTTTAATTAATAAAATGAGAGTTAGAAAAAAAAAATATTTTCTATATTTTTATTACTTAAAGTAATTGTAAAAGAAAGAAAACAAGAATAAAGTTCTTTAACAAAACATTAAATTATTCAAAGAGTCCCCCACACATTGAATCCTTTCCCTTTCTTGACCTTACTTGCTATCTTCCAGCCGAAACAAAAACTATTACCCCTTTTTGGATAAGTCCTTTTCCATTTTCGTTCTTCAATTTTCTTGTGATCTCAAAAATCTTTGATGGGGAGATTATTTGTGTTGACTCTTGAAGGCAAGATCTACAGCTGCAAGCACTGTGGAACTCATCTTGCCCTTTCTGAAAACATTGTTTCCAAGGTTTTCCTCCATTTCTGTTTGATCATTCTGTTATTGTGATTTCTTGAAATTGAGATTTTTTAAATTTTGATTTTGATTTATTTCGTTGTAAAAATACAATCTTTGGCTTGATCGGTGGTTTCGGTTTAGTTTATAGAACTTGTTAGGGATTGTTGTTGGTCTTTTTAAGTAATTTTAGATGTATATAAAAATTGGCTACTTTAAATCAGCTATGTGAGTGAAGAAGGTCTCAGATTGAGTAATTTTTCCCTAAAGGAGATGTATTTTTTAGCATCAAAGAGCTGGGTTTTGTGGAGTTGCTGGTTTTGGAGTAAAAGGGATTGTATGAGCATTCTTTGTGAACTTTTTAAAAAATAGTAGTTATTATTGCTGATAACATACCATACAATATTCCTGCTTAATCCAGTTATGAATTAGAGGAGTTGTTTGTTGAGTCTGACACTTGGAGTATACTTGATTGTCATTTTCCATTTGTTCCATGTCTGTGTGCTAGTGGCTTCATTATTTCAAACTATTATTGTTATGCCCAGTCCATTGATCAGGTCTTGGGACTGATCTATTTTCTATATTTTGATCAATTTGGTGCTTGTTTGGTCACTTTATTTTGCTCAATTTCATTGTAATGTGCATTCATGACTTTCTTTATTATATAAGTTGACTTTGTAGGTCAGTCTGTCCTATGAAAAATTCCATATGACTTCTATAGCATAGAATCAGAGCACATTTTCAAGTGTTGGAGCTTTGAAACTACTGTTTCTTAGAAAATTCAAATGCTTTTGTATGGAGTAAAATATTGATTCTGCATTTAATTATATTGAAGTTTAATGTTGTTTCATCCCCTAAATAATGTATGTAGTCATTCTGAGTTATGAAGTTATCTAACTCTATGTTTTCCTTCTGATCTTTCCTTCAGTCTTTCCACTGCAGACATGGGAAGGCTTATCTCTTCAGTAAAGTGTAAGTCTCTTTGATTCTGCACATTCAATCATCAGATATGTTTGTGACATTTTCACATGTCCAATCTTTAAACTTGCAGCATGAAAATCACAAGTGCAACTTACAACTTCTGTTGGTTTTATTCTTGTTAGAGTATGAATTACCATTTATTTCCTCTGATTGTTGTTAAGCTTTTCTTGGCATCGATGGGACATGAGTTATTTGTAGCTTGGTTAGATGAACAATGATATTACTACGGTCAAGCTTATTCATACCTCTGGTACAGAAAGATGAAAAAAGCTACCATATAAATCCTCTTATTTGACTTCCACCCCTTCTTTTATTGGTGTGGAGGACACTGTTAAACTAAAAAGTGAAAAAAGATGAAGTATTGAAGAATTCACGTTGCTAGTAGTTAGCCAAAATTTTCATGATTTGAAATGAAAAAAGATTTGTTTTTCAAAAGTTGAGTGCAACTGGAGTATGTGCAAATTATTTGGCTTTTACTCTATGTGGGTCAGATAGCTCTCAGGATCTTTGATTTTGTTATTAGCTCCGAGTCATTATTATTATGGAAGGTCACAACCAACCTAGAATATTTGAGAGCACATGAAAAGTTGTGTACAAGGCAGGGTATACCCTGTAGGTTCAGTTTGTTAAAGGCATGGTACTGTATATTTATATCTTCATACATTTGTGTTATTGACATTGCCCTCAGGATCTTTGATTTTGTTATTAGCTCTGAGTCATTATTATTATGGAAGGTCATAACTCATAACCAACCTAGAATGTTTGAGTGCACATGAAAAGTTGAACAAGGTAGGCTATACCTTGTAGGTTTGGTTTGTTAGAGACATGGTACTTTATATGTATATCTTCATACATTTGTGTCATTGACTATAAAATTAGCACCAGAATTTGATCTATTGGAATCACTATAGAACCTAGTGGGGATTTTACCAGACTATTATATCGTGTACTTTTGAGTGTATTTTGCAGGAGTACAAATATTAACACATCAATATATGGAATAAATTCTTACTTGACTTGGGTTATTTTCCACTTGGTAGCAACATTACAATAGTTACATGGCATTATCATATATTATGCTCAACTTGATTGCTTTCCTGTTCAAGAGTTCTGCTCTTCTCAAATCTCTTCATTTCATTTTATCATTTAGCAGAAACATACAAAATGATAATGCACTTTGTAGTTCTGTATATTCTATACGCCTTTTTTTTTTTCTTTTGACAGGGTGAATGTCACTTCTGGCGAGATAGAAAATAGAATGATGATGACTGGTATGCACACTGTGGCAGACATTTTCTGCGTCTGTTGTGGGTCAATTGTTGGATGGAAATATGTGAGTATGGAGTGATAAAATGCTAGACATTGTCGTTTGGCAGTTGCTAGAAGTTTTAGTTGTTCCTAATATAGCAATTCTTTTTTCAGGAGACCGCCCATGAGAAGAGCCAAAAGTACAAAGAAGGAAAATCAGTGCTTGAGCGGTCAGTTGATTACTTCAGTTTTCTTTAGAATTGAGTTAGGAACATATCATAAGTCCTTACTGAGGTACTTTCTTTTATACTCAACAGGTTTAAGATTTGTGGCCCTGATGGAAGCCATTACTGGGATAGTCATGATACTCATGTTGCAGGAAGTGATGCTGATGGTGTTTGATCACCATCCAGAACAAAAATTCTATCCCAAAATGTACATTCTTTAACCCACCACCCCATTAGTTCTTTATGAACCATTGGATTCTTGAATAGCTTAAGCTACTGCAACTTCTTTAAGCTTCTCCTCTATTGTGTAATGATAATATGGAAGCAGCCATGGGTTGTGGCAAACTAACATGACCATCTGCCTTTATTTGCTTGCAATGACAAGACATTACTAGTAGCAACCACTCTGCTTTCATTGCTTCGATCTTTCCATAGTTGTTTGGTAGCTGGATAGAGTTGTGCGGGTATTAGTTATGCAGGTATTACTTATGTAGGGTTTAGTTATGCAAGTATTACTTATGCGGGTATTAGTTATGCAGGTATTAGTCAAGCAAGTAGTCTGGACATGAATTTTTGAAATAAAACCAAGACTATAAATTGATTTGCCGTCTACTTTCCCCTTTTCATAACCATCCCATATCCTCCCTGAATGACTACATAGTTCTGGCAACAACAAAAGCTTAAAAAATCGGCAGTGAGGAAACAACTAATACACTACACCGCACCTTACCCCCATCATCACATCAAAACTTGGTAGAGTTCACAGCAGTAAAACAGGTCTGGTATGGTGTGGAGTTTTGTCCAAATGAAAACAGAATGATGTCCATAACTAGCTAACATTTTTGCCCGATAATCATGGCTTTGTTGTTTTATCAACAAAAATATGACAAGGAAAACTCTCCCTCAACAAAGTTCCAGTAGATAACAACTATTTGGCTACAATTAAGATTATTCAGCAGATGTGTAATGACCTATTCTGTCATTATAGTTGTTTAGGGCTATAGTACCCTTGTGTAGATCTCCGTGGGTCAAGAGTTGGTAGAAATCTAGAAATGGAAAATCAAGTATGAAAATTTGCTAGTGTTTCACTATAGCGGACACTTTCTTTGTAATAACTAGATCACTATTTCAACCTCATTAACTTCTGTTGAGCAGTTCATATACCCAAAGAATCAATTTTATGGGGTTTCTAGGTTCCCCAAATTCATAATTAAGGCTAGGTTCATAATTCTATACTAGAAGACAAACTTTAACGGACTAGAATTGAAAATCATTCATAATTAACCTGCCCCACATGTTGTGCCATCAAAATAATAACCCTAGGTTTCAATGCATAAAATCCTATGGACATACCTATCAATTTTGGGAGGAAACCGAATTATGGAAGAAATGAATGAACGGAAAGCACTTACCTTAAGAGAGAAAAACCCCAAATCTTGGAAAAATCTCCTATGGGATTCTCTGGTAAAATATTTTACATAATGACTAAGTACGGACGAAAGCTAACATAAAAACGTGAGTTACTGTTTTCCGACCTTCTCTATAGCAAAACTTCGCAACTTCGTTATGATCATGCATACTTCTAATTTGATAAAATCATCTTTAAATAATTGATTAGACCTTCTAAAATGTAATATCCCATATTTTAAACAAGGACATATTAGTCATTAGCCAAAAAAAAATCAAATGGGCCTTAGCCCATCAGAAACCTAATAAGGGAAAAATTAAATTAAGCTAAATAAATTATTGGAGTTAAGAGTTTTGTCAGCAACTCTTGGAAAAAAGAAGGAAGAAAGAGTACATTCTTGGAGTCTCTTCATGTGAAGGAGCATGAAATCGATTAAAGCAGAGAAAAATAACTAAATGGAGAAGAAGTGGAACTCTTGCTATTTCAAGTATGGATTTCAAGGTAAGTATCTTAACTTAGTTTAAAGATTGAATTTGTATATTCCCTGACTATAAATTTGAGAACTGAGAGTTTGAAAAACATGGGCTTAGAAGGAATAAAGGAAACTTTGCCCGATTTTCTGTAAATTTATGGTAAGGCTTGCTTTGGGATTCTTTCCCCTTAGCGCCGGTCATAGACCTAATTTGGGTCGTGACAAAGTTGGTATCAGAGCACTAGGTTATTCTTGTGACTTATGGAGCACACATTAGTAGTAGAATCTCAATTATGGTTATGTTGCCGGCCATTTCTATAATCATGATTCTGCGAGGACGTGATAGGATGTGTCTGTCTTTCTTTCTCATTTCTCTTTTTGTGTGACTAATAGGGTCTACTAGATGAATCTAATATTGTTTATCTTCCTATCACATATCTTGAACTTAGTCGTCCAATAACAAGGATAGTCCAAAGATCTGGAGACATTAAGGGTCACCTTTGTAAACAACCGTCTCTCCCAATAAGGGGAACAAACAAGTGGTTGGAAAATCCAAGAAAGAGGGGGTTATGTCATTGTGAGGAATTCTTCGTGCACCTATGTGATAGGTAATATAGTTTTTTTCTGAAAAGAGTACTACTCTGCACTTTAACAACATGAGAGTGTTACTGTTAGGACACGTATCTTGCTGTACCGAGCAAGATATATTAATTGACAGAGTGAATAGATTCAGGCAACAAAATATAGCCCAAGAGCAGCTCCACGCAACTAGAAGGATTCAGATTTGTCTCAAAAAAAAAGTAGCCTAGAGATTTCTAAAGATAAAACCTCCAAGTTTCTAACAACTCAAAGATCCTTAAAGGTCTTAAAGGTTCTTGGGTGAAATACTTAAAGCTTTATGAGCTCGAGCATGTTTCAGCAAGAGTGTTGTAGTTCTGGTAGCATACAGACGGTGAATGTGATTAATTACATGGTATAATATTGTACTATTCAAAATACCAGTAGGACAACACCAAAGACTTGAGGCGATTCACTAAGTTATTATGGATTGTTTCTGTCTAGACAGTTGAGAATGAGTAACTTAATAAGGAATTTTAAGGAATTTGTTCAAAATGATTCGTTGGAACTAAGATATGACTCCGGATTATTCAATTAGCTAGATATGCTCCCTATTTATTAACTAATGGAGTTTTTTTGAAGGTTTAGAAATTTTTGAAAGGATGGTTAGCCTCTTAGACTGTGCAGTAACCTCGCACACAAATGCTTTACCTACTTTGAGGTCGTTGACATTGCTAAGCACATTTTGAAAAACATGTAAAGTTGTAAAAAGAGCAACCATGGATTCATGCTAGGTTGAAACTGGAAAAAAAGAAGAGAGAGAGAAGGAAATCTCAGGCTTTAGAAAGTAGTGATGTTATACCATGATGAGGGTTCAACATTTACTAAAGGGCATGAGGGAGGAGATATTTATTCTAATTTAGAAATGGTATTGGTAGTGACATAATTTAAAGATGTATTTTTGTGGATTTGCCAAGACCTACTAGCACGATAAATAGAAATTTCTATTGACGTGTGGAGTGCAACCCTTTTGATGCCCCTATATCGTATGACACCGAGGGAGTTCAGAAGAGATAAGTAAATAATTGTAGGTCATATTAAATAAAGGTTCATCAGACTGAAAGTATCACTGGTGTGCTTCGACTACATACTTTTGAACAAGTAACGACATAATAAATCCTAGTTGTCTGGAATAGATTTCATACATAATTGGTTACAACGAGTCATCCTCTTGTTGGAAAATCAATCCCCAGTTTGGGTTATTATCAACTTACAATCAAAGAAAGATGATATTTCTAAGACCACCTCCAATTTTGAGTGCAAATATTATGAGTTCCCTGTGATATCTCTCGGACTGGTCAATGTTCAATGTGCATTCGTGGACTTAATAAATAGGGTGTTCAAGACATTCTGTACAAATTGTTTATAGTGTTTGCAGATGATATTTCTGTATACTCTCATAGTCGAGAAGAACATAAAGATGAGGAGGAATTGGTTACAAACACTGTGAGGCATCGACACTATGAAAATGCTAAGTACAATTGTGTCTAGACTCAATAGCATTGCTCGGGTATGTTGTATCTAATGATGCGATTTTGGCGACACCTAAGTTGGAAAAAGTAGTTCAGAAATGATACAAGCCCACTACTCTTACAGAGAATAACAACTTCTTGATTTTGACAGGCTAACACATGCATTTTGTGCATAGTTTCTTTGGAATAACACCTCTAGAAATTACAACTCCACTTAATTACCAGCTACAAAAAAGAAGAAGATGAAGTTTCAGTAAACAGAGGAATATGAATAGATGCTTTTAGAAGCTCAGAATATATATGTTTGATCACCACAACAGTGTTAGCCTTCCAGTCAAGTTTTGGAGGATTCATGATGCTCTGTGATGTTTCGAGGGTGGGATTATGATGTGTTCTCATTAAGAAAGATCGTGTGATAGTTATACTTAGAGATATCTAGATAAGCATGAGCAGGAACGCCCTCTCATAATTTGAAGGTGGTTACAATGGTATTTGCGCTAAAGTTCGGAAGCACTCTTATACAATGAAACCAATGTGAATTATACAAATCGCAAGACCTGAGATGTAAGTTTAAAAAAAAAGAAGATTTGATCCTTAAATTTACACGGATGGACAAAACTACTCTATGTCTATGTCAAATTTTACTATTCGACGTCATCTGGGAAACAAAGTTGTTTAGATAGATGCTTTGAAAAGGAAATCCATAGGTTATATGGAACATAATGTTCACGTGAAATGACTTTTAGCTGGTGAAGCAGTGGAAGTGTTTGGAGAGTCCAGATAATATAACAACAGGCTTCTTTGTAGGACAGGCAGGCTGGACGAGGCAGGTGAAAATTGCCTAAGTGTGGCTATTTATACAAGGGAAAATAGCTCATGTGAAAGGACTTTTAGCCTAGAATTTGCATATACTCAGGGATACAAGTATCAAATTAGTGTGAGAAACTCAGAGACACTATTTGCTTATGTTCAGCTCAAGTCTTTATTGGTAACACATATCAAGGCCAACTAATACGAGGATGAGAAGTTCTGTGAATATCGAAATGAGATTCTAGCGGGTAAAGACAAGGATACGACTTTTGATTGTTATGTGGTTTCCCATTTAACATAGATGGTTTAAGGCAGATTATTCTTGAGTAAGTCATAACTCTGACTACACAATAGGTTCGGGATCACCAAGAAGTAATATTTCCTAAGAGAACTATATTGATAGGAGAAAAAAAATGTTGCTATCCTTGTAACATGTTAAAGTTGAGCATCAACGACCCTTAAGATCAATACAACAACTCAGGATCTCTAGAGTGAATATGAAAAGTGTTACCATGGATTTTGTGACCCATTTAACATGAACTCCTAGAGGTTATGACTCTGTATGGTTAGTTGTAAGTCGACTCAATCGGGATATAACGGAGGAATATAGTAGAGATATGCTTGAATGGAATTTTTGACTCTATGAAGTTCCATTATTGTTTATATTGGACGGTAAATCACAATGTACAACATATTTTTGAAATTTGTTTCAGAAAACCTTGACTACATTTCTAGAGGATATGCTAAAATCTTTCGTTCTTAATGTAATTGGAGGTAGTTGAGATGCTTATCTAGCATTGGCTGAAATTGCCTATCACAACAAATCACACTACGCAATAGATGGATCCATATGAAGAATTATGATAGGTGACGTCTTTCTCCTATCAGAAAGTCTGATGGTGGAGACATTAATGTATTGGGACCAGACTTGGTATTGAAAGCTTCAGACAAAAGTTGCTCGCAATTCAAGTAGGTTAAAGGTTTATACATAAAAGAGGAAAGGAAATTTAGAGTACATAGTTGGGGACAAAACCTTCCGAAGAGTCCATCAAGGAATAGCGTGAAGTGATTTGAAAAGAAGAAGAAGAAGAGCTAATTTGAGCTCAAAATTTGTAAGACCATATAAAATTTCTTGACCAGGTGAGAGTAGTGTTCTACCTTTTGAAACCTTCTTTTGAGATGCATTTTGGTTGTTCAGTTTTCTACATCTGTTAAGAAAATGTATATTAAACTCCTCTTGTGCTTGAAGCACCAACTATACAACGGGATGATAACTTAACATATGAGGAGGAATCAATGGCCGCTGTTGACAGGCAACGAAGAAATTTTGGTCAAAATAAATTGTGTCCATGAAAATCGCATGGGGGAAACATACCATTGAAGAAGCTACTTGAGAATTGGGAGAGGATATGAAAGGTCAAGTATCCACACCTATTCTGAGTTACAAATGACTTAAATTCGGGGACCGAATTTCTTAAGGTGGGGAGAATGTAATATCCCATATTTTAAACAAAGACATATTAATCATTAGCCAAAAAAAAATCAAATGGGCCTTTGCCCATCAGAAACCTAATAAGGGAAACACTAAATTAAGCTAAAGAAATTATTGGAGTTAAGAGTTTTATCAGCAGCTCTTGGAAAAGAAAAGGAAGAAAGAGTACGTTCTTGGAGTCTCTTCCTGTGAAGGAGCATGAAATCGATTAAAACAGAGAAAAATAACTAAATGGAGAAGAAGTGGAACTCTTGCTATTTCAATTATGGATTTCAAGGTAAGTATCTTAAATTAGTTTAAAGATTGAATTTGTATATTCCCTGACTATAAATTTGAGAACTGAGAGTTTGAAAAACATGGGTTTAGAAGGAATAAAGGAATCCGTTAAACTCTTATTATCTTACGGTTTGAGTGAGTATGTTAAATGTTTGGACCAAACTTTTGGTAGTTCGGCATAAACTGAAGAAGAATTGCTGGACAGTGACATTAGTTCTGTTTATTATAGGGTGAAGTAATCAACACTGAGACTGTTTTGCGGGATCTGAAGCACCAATTTGATATAAATTGATAGATTGAGAGTCTATCATAAAACCTCGAAGATTGGGTATTCTGAATTTAGTATGAATTAGCCTAAACGAAGGAAGTATTATGAGACCGATATGATGTGATTATAGATTGATTGAAGGAAGTCATACAGATTGCCCAAGTGACAGATTTGGTACTTCAACACGAGTACTGTGAGTAGTAATCTTGCCACAATTTGTATTTCACAAATTTCATGATTTTTACATGGTTTATAAAGTAAATGTGTTACAGACTGTTTTGAACTTGCATGTGGGACAAGTTTTTTACTGGATATGATACTGAAAAGATTATTTGAGATGATCTCATTCTTACAAGATATGATTACTGATATTGAAAAGGTTTTACACTTATTTGAGAAATAATATTTTGACAGGTGATTGTTAAACTTTGAAATGATATGATTTGATAAGATTTAAATGCTCTGTTCGATTTTCAAATGCTTCTACTGATTACAAGAAAAATATAAATGGGAGTAGATCTTGATGAATCTCGTAGCTAACGGCGGGGTCATTAGACCTGGTGCACCTTGTAGTTATTGATTACTGATAAAGCCCTTGCTAGTGGGAAGGTAGAACTAGTATACTATTACTAATATCCCTCGAGTAGGGACCTACTGATATGAATATTTAACTCCTTTATGAGGAGTTTACTGCTATTGGTTACTTCTTAAAGAGAAGGTCACACTGATTACATGATTCATCCTTGGAAACCTCCCAGCTATAAGATTTGATATGGAAATGTTTTTATGAGTTTATTATTAAGTATTTACATTGATTTTGCTTATATGAGGCACATAAGTTTGAATAATATTATGATTTCTGAAAAGGCATTATTTCATCATTTTGATTATTTTACTAGCATGTTTTTTGACTTGTCCCTTAAAAAAATGGTTGTGGTTAAGTATTATTACTCACTGAGCTAGCGTCTCACTCCTCGCTAATTGTTTTTACAGAGAACTCAGGTGGTATTAAAGAGGATTTCATTAGCTAGAGAGTGTGATTCGGTAGCACCTGGTGAGCCCCGCATTGCTTCGCGTGGCAAGAGATCTATTGATTTGCTATGGTTTATTCAGTTCTTTAAAAACTCTTAGGGTCGCTCCATTCGTCATTCTTTCCTTTGAGTCATGAGTATTTCTTCGTATTGTAGTCAAGTGACTGGTTTGAATTTCTTTTTCATATTTGGAGATAACTGGTATTATTGCGTCAAAGTTAGACCATCAATGGATATTAGGTTTTAGTTTGTAGTTGTTATTATTTGTGTTGTGGATTTCTGAGAGTGGAAAAATTCAGGCTAGGCACAAAAATAAAGGAAATTCTGCCCGATTTTCTGTTAATTTATGGTAAGGCTTGCTTTGGGATTCTTTCCCCTTAGCGCCGGTCATAGACCTAATTTGGGTCGTGACATAAAAAGGTAAAATTATGTGAGTTTGAATACTCAAGACCTTCGTTTGAGAAAGAAGATGATTAATGTGTTGTCATGTTTCGAGAATGAATGTTCCTAAGGGGGAAAGGATGTAACATCCTGGGTGTTTTAAGATTGTCCGTTGTCTCATGTTGAGAACTTACGAGCTATGTTGCTCAGACTCTTCAAAAGTTCCAACGGGTGCGTGTCGGATTCGCCAAAAGTAGTGTATTTTTGGAGAATCCGAGACGGGTGCAGCATCAAAAGTGAAAAGTCCGCGCAACTAAGCTTACGAGTAACTCTAGGGTACTTTTGGACCAAATTATCAACGATAAGGGTATTTGTACCAAAGTATTGACTGCAAGGATAATTTTGTTCATAAATAATAACATTTTTATTCATTTCACATAATTTAAGGATATTTTTTATCTTTTCCATTTTTAAAATGGACTAAAAAGGACAAAAGCAAGTAGCATTAAATTATTCAAAGAGTCCCTCACACATTGAATCCTTTCCCTTTCTTGACGTTACTTACTATCTTCCATCCGAAACAAAAACTATTACCCCTTTTTGGATAACTCCTTTTCCATTTTCGTTCTTCAATTTTCTTGTGATCTTAAAAATCTTTGATGGGGAGATTATTTGTGTTGACTCTTGAAGGCAAGATCTACAGCTGCAAGCACTGTGGAACTCATCTTGCCCTTTCTGAAAACATTGTTTCCAAGGTTTTCCTCCATCTTTTCTGTTTGATCACTCTGTTATTGTGATTTCTTGAAATTGGGATCTTTTTAATTTTGATTTTGATTTATTTTGTTGTAAAAATACAATCTTTGGCTTGATCGGTGGTTTCGGTTTCGTTTCTAGAACTTGTTAGGGATTGTTGTTGGTCTGTTTAAGTAATTTTAGATGTATATAAAAATTGGCTACTTTAAATCAGCTATGTGAGTGAAGAAGGTCTCAGATTGAGTAATTTTGCCCTAAAGGAGATGAATTTTTTAGCATCAAAGAGCTGGGTTTTGTGGAGTTGCTGGTTTTGGAGTAAAAGGGATTGTATGAGCATTCTTTGTGAACTTTAAAAAAAATAGTAGTTATTATTGCTGATAACATACCATACAATATTCCTGCTTAATCCAGTTATGAATTAGAGGAGTTGTTTGTTGAGTCTGATACTTGGAGTGTACTTGATTGGCATTTTCCATTTGTTCCATGTTTGTGTGCTAGTGGCTTCAATATTTCAAACTATTATTGTTATGCCCAGTCCATTGATCAGGTCTTGGGACTGATCTATTTTCTATATTTTGATCAATTTGGTGCTTGTTTGGTCACTTTATTTTGCTCAATTTCATTGTAATGTGCATTCATGACTTTCTTTATTATATAAGTTGACTTTGTAGGTCAGTCTTTCCTATGAAAAATTCCATATAACTTCTATAGCATAGAATCAGAGCACATTTTCAAGTGTTGGAGCTTTGAAACTACTGTTTCTTAGAAAATTCAAATGCTTTTGTATGGAGTAAAATATTGATTCTGCATTTAATTATATTGAAGTTTAATGTTGTTTCATCCCCTAAATAATGTATGTGGTCATTCTGAGTTATGAAGTTATCTAACTCTATGTTTTCCTTCTGATCTTTCCTTCAGTCTTTCCACTGCAGACATGGAAAGGCTTATCTCTTCAGTAAAGTGTAAGTCTCTTTTTTATTCTGCAAATTCAATCATCAGATATGTTTGTGACATTTTCATATGTCCAATCTTTAAACTTGCAGCATGAAAATCACAAGTGCAACTTACAACTTCTGTTGGTTTTATTCTTGTTTGAGTATGAATTACCATTTATTTCCTCTGATTGTTGTTAAGCTTTTCTTGGCATCGATGGAACATGAGTTATTTGTAGCTTGGTTAGATGAACAATGATATTACTACGGTCAAGCTTATCCATACCTCTGGCACAGAAAGATGAAAAAAGCTTCCATATAAATCCTCTTATTTGACTTCCACCCCTTCTTTTATTGGTGTGGAGGACACTATTAAACTAGAAAGTGCAAAAAGATGAAGTATTGAAGAATTCATGTTGGTAGTAGTTAGCCAAAAATTTCATGATTTGAAATGAAAAAGATTTGTTTTTCAAAAGTTGAGTGCAACTGGAGTATGTGCAAATTATTTGGCTTTTACTCTACATGGGTCAGATAGCTCTCAGGATCTTTGATTTTATTATTAGCTCCGAGTCATTATTATTATGGAAGGTCACAACCAACCTAGAATATTTGAGAACACATGAAAAGTTGTGTACAAGGCAGGCTATACCCTGTAGGTTTAGTTTGTTAAAGACATGGTACTGTATATTTATATCTTCATACATTTGTGTCATTGACATTGCTCTCAGGATCTTTGATTTTGTTATTAGCTCTGAGTCATTTTTATTATGGAAGGTCATAACTCATAACCAACCTAGAATATTTGAGTGCACATGAAAAGTTGAACGAGGTAGGCTATACCTTGTAGGTTTAGTTTGTTAAAGACATGGTACTTTATATGTATATCTTCATACATTTGTGTCATTGACTATAAAATTAGCACCAGAATTTGATCTATTGGAATCACTATAGAACCTAGTGGGGATTTTACCAGACTATTATATCGTGTACTTTTGAGTGTATTTTGCAGGAGTACAAATATTAACACATCAATATATAGAATAAATTCTTACTTGACTTGGGTTGTTTTCCACTTGGTAGCAGCATTACAATAGTTATATGGCTGAATACATTTATTATGCTCAACTTGATTGCTTTCCTGTTCAAGAGTTCTGCTCTTCTCAAATCTCTTCATTTCATTTCATCATTTAACAGAAAACATACAAAATGATAAAGCACTTTGTAGTTCTGTATATTCTATACGCCTTTTTTTTCTTTTGACAGGGTGAATGTCACTTCTGGCGAGATAGAAAATAGAATGATGATGACTGGTATGCACACTGTGGCAGACATTTTCTGCGTCTGTTGTGGGTCAATTGTTGGATGGAAATATGTGAGTATGGAGTGATAAAATGCTAGACATTGTCGTTTGGCAGTTGGTAGAAGTTTTAGTTCCTAATATAGCAATTCTTTTTTCAGGAGACCGCCCATGAGAAGAGCCAAAAGTACAAAGAAGGAAAATCAGTGCTTGAGCGGTCAGTTGATTACTTCAGTTTTCTTTAGAATTGAGTTAGGAACATATCATAAGTCCTCACTGAGGTACTTTCTTTTATACTCAACAGGTTTAAGATTTGTGGCCCTGATGGAAGCCATTACTGGGATAGTCATGATACTCATGTTGCAGGAAGTGATGCTGATGGTGTTTGATCACCATCCAGAACAAAAATTCTATCCCAAAATGTACATTCTTTAACCCACCACCCCATTAGTTCTTTATGGACCATTGGATTCTTGAATAGCTTAAGCTACTACAGCTTCTTTAAGATTGTCCTCTATTGTGTATGATAATATGGAAGCAGCCATGTGTTGTTGCAAACTAACATGACCATCTGCCTGTATTTGTTTGCAATAACAAGACATTACTAGTAGCAACCACTCTGCTTTCATTGCTTCGATCTTTCCATAGTTGTTTGGTAGCTGGATAGAGTTATGTGAGTATTAGTTATGCAGGTATTACTTATGTTGGGTTTAGTTATGCATGTATTACTTACGCGGGTATTAGTTATTAGTTATGCAGGTATTAGTCAAGCAAGTAGTCTGGACATGAATTTTTGAAATAAAACCAAGACTATAAATTGATTTGCCGTCTACTTTGCCCTTCTCATAACCATCCCATATCCTCCCTAAATAACTCTCATAGACCATTTAGGTCTACCTGGTCAGAAAATAAGAGATTTTCCATAAATCCCCAATATTTCGATCAAGGCAGTTGCCGAATCATATTACATAGTTCTGGCAACAACAAAAGCTTAAAAAATTAGCAACTTACCCCATCATCACATCAAAACTTGGTAGAGTTCATAGCAGTAAAACTGGTATTGTATGGTGTGAAGTTTTGTCCAAATGTAAACAGAATGATGTCCAAAACTAGCTAACATTTTTGTCTGACAATCATGGCTTTGTTGTTTTATCAACAAAAATATGACAAGGAAAACTCTCCCTCAACAAAGTTCCAGTAGATAACAACTATTTGGCTACAATTAAGATTATTCAGCAGATGTGTAATGACTTATTTCGTCATTATAGTTGTTTAGGGCTATAGTACCCTTGTGTAGATCTCTGTGTGTCAAGAGTCGGTAGAAATCTGGAAATTGAAAATCGAGTATGAAATCTGCTAGTGTTTCACTATAGCGGACACTTTCTTTGTAATGACTAGATCACTATTTCAACCTCATTAACTTCTGTTGAGCATTTCATATGCTCAAAGAATCAATTTATGGGGTTTCTAGGTAGGCTAGGTTCATAATTCTATTCTAGAAAGACAAAATTTAACGAACAAGAATTGAAAATCATTCATAATTAACCTGCCCCACATGTTGTGCAATCAAAATAATAACCCTAGGTTTCAATGGATAAAATCCTATGGATATTCTTTTCAGTTATGGGAGGAAACTGAATTATGGAAGAAATGAATGAATGGAGAGCACTTACCTTAAGAGAGAAAAACCCAAAGTCTTGAAAAAATCTCCTCTGGGTTCTCTGGTCAAATATTTTACATTATGACTAAGTACGGACAAAAACTAACATATAAACGTGAGTTACTGTTTTCCGACCTTCTCTATAGCGAAACTTTACAACTTCGTTATGATCATGTATACTTTCGATTTGATAAAATCATCTTTAGTAATTGATTAAACCTTCTAAAAAGGTAAAATTTTGTGAGTTTGAATACTCAAGACCTTTGTTTGAGAAAGAAGATGATTAATGTGTAGTCGTATTTCGAGAATGAATGTTCCTAAGGGGGAAGATGTAACATCCCAAATGTTTAAGATTGTCCGTCGTCTCATGTTGAGAACTTACGAGTAAAGAGTCTAAATATGAGAGTTTTATTACTGTCCGTCGTCTCATGTTGAAAACTTACGAGTAATGAGTCTAAATATGAGAGTTTTATTATAATACCACTTTTGTTCAATATCTGATTTAAATTAAAATTTTGATTGCAATATATGCTTAATTTCTTCCTAAAATGCCTAAAAATTTATGAAAATTATTTTGTTCCACTTGAGAATTTCTAACTTCTGAACCCATATATGATTGGACATGCAAACCGTTCCCGTTTCACATGTACAATCTGTATATATATATATGTTGTGAGAAATATAAGACAATAATATTATTGAATTATTGTTGTGTCTACATTATTACACAAAGACCCTATTTATAGACACTACAATACAATCATTTACCAAATAGGATACTATTTACTATTCCTATTTCTATTACTATTTCTATTCCTATTCATATTCTAAATAGGATTGTATAAACCTATTCCTATTCTAAGTAGGATTGTGTATACCTATTACTATTCTAACACTCCCCCTCAAGCTAGTGCATACAAATCATATATATCTAGCTTGTAACAAATATAATTAATACGAGGACCGAAGAGGAGCTTGGTGAGATATATGCAAGTTGATCACTCGACTTCACAAAATTGACAATCAATCTCAATGTGCTTGGTCTTCTCATGAAATACTGAATTTGATGCATAATGCCGATAAAACATAGAGTGTTAAAATTACAGTGTTGGAACTTCCCAAACCAAGCTTGCAAAGACTGTTTCAGACCATAGAGTGTCTTACGTAATCGACATACAAGGCATACCATGTGAGAAATATAGGGGAGGAATATGATTGAATTGTTGTTGTGTCTACATTATTACATTGAGACCGTATTTATAGACACTAGAATACAATCCTTTACCAAATAGGATACTATTTACTATTCCTATTTTTATTTCTATTTCTATTCCTATTCCTATTCTAAATAGGATTGTATAAACCTATGCCTATTCTCAGTAGGATTGTATATACCTATTACTATTCTAACATATGTCATATCAACGATCTAAATTTGATATTTTTATTTTTATTATAATTTCAACCTTTTTGCACACTTTGTACACGATAAGAAATTAACTTTTACATATTCGCATTTGCTTTAACGTAGCTCGAGTCAAAGCAATGAAATTTAATGACTCAAATTTAATCCAAATTTTTGAAGTGTTACAGTTAACCTTGGTAGGCCATACCAATTATTGGGCAAAAATATTTGATGTTTGGCGTTCGTAAGATCACAATTCAGATAAAAGTGTGAAGTTTTGTCCAAATGAAAATAATGAAACCAGAATGATGTCCAAAACTAGCTAACATTTGGGTTGACACTCATGACTTTATTGATTTATCGACAAAATATGACAATTTGCATAAAACAACTTACTCATTATCCTCAATACAAAAAATTCTCCCTCGACAAAGTTTCAGTAGATAACAACTATTTGACTACAATTAAAGATTATTCAGCAAATGTGTAACGACTTGTTCCATCGTTATGATTGTTTAGGGCGATAGTACCCTTGTGTAGATCTCCATGGGCTAAGAGTTGGTAGAAATCTTGAAATGGAAAATCGAGTGTGAAATTTAGCTAGTGCTTAACTATAGTGAACACTTTCTTTAAATAGCGAGATTGCTATAACGAAGGAATGCTACATAGAGAAGGTAGCGAAGTTTCACTATAGTGAAGGTCGGGAAACAGTAACTCGTGTTTTTAAGTTTGTTTTCATTCAGACTTAGTCATAATGTAATTTTTTTTTACCAGAGAATCCTATAGGAGATTTGTCTAAGACTTGATGATTTTCTCTCTTGAGGTAAGTGTTTTTCGTTCTTTCATTCGTTCCTTCCATACTTCGATGTCCTCCCTGAATTGAAAGCTATGCTCTTCATAGGATTTTACACATTGAAATCTAGAATTTTTTATTTGTTTTGATTACCGAGAAATCCGTCTGTGATCCACCCTTTGGACCAATCACAACCTTCTAAACTCGGTGGATAATGGGCCCGCCCCTCTACCCTTCTCCACTTAAATACTGGGCTTCGCTTTGCATGGTGTGGGGCTTGAACCTGCGACCTAAGCCACAAATCCTCCACCTTTTGCCACTTGAGCTAGGCCTTGGCAGCTAGAATTATTATTTTAATGGCACAACATGTGGGGCAGGTTAATTATGAATAATTTTCAATTTTAGTCCGTTAATCATTGTCTACTAGTATAGAATTATAAACCTAGCCTTAATTATGAATTTGAGGAACCTTGAAATCCCATAAAAATGATTTTTCTAAGCATATGAACTGCTCAAGAGAAGTTAATGGGGTTGAAGCTTTATGAATGAGATTGATATGATCATGCAAACCTCCGATTTGATAAAATAGTCTTTAAATAATTGATTAGACCTTCTAAAAAGGTAGAATTATGTGAGTTTGAATACCCAAGATCTTTGTTTGAGAAAGTAGATGATTAATGTGTTGTCATAGTTCGAGGATGAATGATCCTAAGGGAAAAGAATGTAACACATTGGGTGTTTAAGATTGTCTGTCGTCCCATGTTGAAGACTTATGAGTAACGAGCCTAAATATGAGAGTTTTATTATAATATCAATTTTGTTAAACAACATTCGGTTTAAATTAAAAATTGATACCAATATATGTTTAATTTCTTCCTAAATTGCCTCAAAAAATTATGAAAATTCTTTAGTTCCACTTCAAAATTTATAACCTTCTAAACCTCACAAATGATTGGACATGCGGACCGTCCGCGTGTCACATTTACAATCCATATATTCATCATACCTTGACGATCAAAATTTGATATTTTAAATTCTCTTTGATTTCAACCTTTTTGTACACCTTGTACATGAGAAGATATTAGCTTTTGTATATATTTACATTTGCTTTAGCAGTCAAAGCAATGAAATTTAATGACTCAAATCTAATTCAAATTTTTGAAGTGTTATAGTTGACCTTAGTAAGTCATACCAAAATTATGGGCCAAATTACTTTATATTTGGCTTTCATAAAACAACAATTCAGGCAAAAATATGTGAAGTTTTATCCCAATGAAAAAATAATTGTTGACACCCAATTTTATCCTTCATTTTCATTTTTTTACGAGCGTCTTTTATTTGCGAGGCCAAAATATTTTTTAAGCTATAGTTGTTTACTTTTGTGCTAAAAATATATGTTCTATGCTTTATTTTGTTGTCATTATATTGCATTATTATCATTGTATCATTTGTTACATGCGGACCATGATGAATTATTGACACCAGTCCTACATTTTGTCTTAGTGGACCGAGGAGAAAAGGGGTTCGGCGGGAAGAGGAGAATAACATGAAATAAGTAAGGAGGTCAACCTCTTTCAAATATACAACATGGATTATGACAATGTAGTTGGACTCTCATGTCGATCCGCATGAATTATCCTTTCCATGGAAGTAAATCTTTGTCTGCTAGGCAAGAGGATAGTAAGTTCCAAGTTCCATCTCTGATATTTCTATTACTATGAAATTCATAAATAAAGTAGTTAATGATAGTTTTTTTGTTACTGTCTTTTTATTTATTCACCTTTATTAAGTACTTATAAATAATCATTTTCAAAGTTCAATTACTATCATGCTCAAGCATTTTTACAAAATCTAGTTATAATCATATTTTAATTTGGTTTCACTTGTATTTAACAAAATCTAGTTATAATCATATTTTTAATTTGGTTTCACTTGTATTTACATATTTTATTATTCTTTTATACTATCTTAGTTTAGTTAGTTTTGGTAGCAAATAACTTATTGTAAGCCGAGTATATTTTCTGTATTCATATAAATTTTTCTAGCATTGGATTATCTAAATGATGTGTAACTCTCTATTCAATTATTCATACATGCCTTTTTATTTGGGGTTTTGCGTCCTAGCAAAACTACTAGATTGATTTTAATTCTTAATCATGTGTTCTCATTTATCTTGTTGTTGCTACAATTCTCATTTACCCAAATTTTCTTTTTCCTATTTGTTGGAATATGCTTTATTATAGTTTGGTGTTTATTGGAAATAATTTCTTTATCTTTAAGAAATACGGATATGATATTGATATGTGTACACTCTATCTATATCCCTCTTCAAATTTCACTTTTGAAAATTACATTTATTTTTGTTTGATGATATTATTGTTTTTGTAATTATGTGTTTATGCTAAGTACTTTCGATGAAGCTTTTTATATTTTTGAATGTTATCAAAACTGACCAACTGTTTAAAGTAAAAAACTTTTGTATTAGGCATGAGTATCAATTTCAAATTACAATGATTCACTAACTTTTATATAGAGAAAATTGATTAGTCTCAAGTTACACTATCTTTAAATAAGAGTCACATTTCACAAAACACGTTCAAGTCGTGTCAAAAAATAGTACTAAGATAATTAATGAACTTTGATAGAATAATCACCCAATGTATGTTTTTGTTAACTACGTCATTATCTATTTTACCAACTTGTCTTGTTAATCTATTTATATGAAAACCTTTCTTATTTTATTATTTTATTTTTTTCTTTTAATCAACTCAAATACAAGTTTGCTTGAATTATCTTACCTACACAAGTTTACTGAGATAAGCAGACTTTTGGGCATCCCAGTGACAGAAAACAGAAATTTGAAAGCTACAGAACACAAACAAGCATGATAAGAAATATGTAATCTGATTTTGTGATAAAGGATTTATATACTAACTAATTAAACATTTAGAACTACTCATCATATATGACATTTCATTGATTATGTTGGTTCCAATGTAACAAACGATAGATTCAGGTCATTCAACTTTGTTAAAGATTATAAACATTGAACATCTAACTTAATTCATAGTGCCAAGAAACTTAAAACACCATGCTAAAAATCTAGCTGGAAGTTCCTCCTCCTCTCAATTGAGGACTTTGTCAAATAATAGGCGCTTGAAGATTTGGTAGATCATACGTTTCATTTTTCATAAGAGACTTAATAAAATCCTTTTAAAATTGTTGTTATGCACCCTGAGGATAGGCAGAAAATTATGAGATAGTGCCCAACTTGTGTCTAGTAGACCGATACAGGTCTCCAAGTCTACTGAACTCTTTAAATGTTAAAGGCTAGGTGTTTGACATGTGACACTCAAGACTCCAAATACAATTTATATGTGCATCTTAAACTTTGATGTCATACTTCTCCAGGTAGTATTCTTAATACATGCTAGCTGAATTCAGTTTCTTGATGTTACAAGGGAGGATAGCTAAGAGGGTTGAGGATGCAAATTTTAAGTGATAAAATATAAGGATGTCAAAAGCAAGTTTTTATTCAAATATCATGAACAGTGAGAAAAACACGTATAGTTTGTAGATGTATTTGTTTTCTGCGCAATTTAAGTACAAAAATTAATGGCTGCCATATATCAAAATCTAGCACTCAGATTTGAAGTTGAAAAGCAGAACAAAAAGGGCTTCTTGGCACCCCCTTTCTGTAAAGTTGAAAAGCAGAACAAAAAGGGCTTCTTGGCACCTCTGATGTTGAATTATTTTGTTGATTCATGAATCAGATTTCCCAGACATTCTTTTAAAATCCTATCTGCAGTTCTGTCTGCTTTATTATGAGATCTTATTTTCCTGTTTCAGGCTTCTAACACCTCCAGGCACTCCTATTTTTCCTTCTCTAGAGATGAAATCACGCGAAACTATGATGAGTCAGCTGGGAACTTCTAGAGCTCACCCCACTGCATTGACATCTAGAGTAAGAATATGTATATTCTACCGTTACATTCTTTCTTTGCTGAAATGCATTATGTGTAATTGGAAATTAGCATATTTTCACTTTTGTTATGTTTAACAAGGGAAATGTTGACCATCTCTGTAATCTGAAAGTATTTTTTTTTTCTTTGATAACCGAGAAATCCCTGTGACCCGCCCTTTGGACCAATATCCAGCCACTAGAGGGATGTGGAGATTTCACGGAACCTAAAAGGAAATTTCTATAATTAAACAGGAAGACCCTGACAGGTTCTTTAGTTCAGACTGCGTGCACAATGGTGGCTCCATTGTTTAGTCAAATGCTATTCGCAGAAGCCCTCTGCTGAATTTGAGGATTATTTTAGTTTTTGAATGTAGAGGTGTGATGTACAACTGCTCCCATGCTTAGTTCAGGTGACAAAGGCCGAGGAACTTGTGACCTAGGTCTAGGTTCGAGCTCTATACCATGTGAACTAAGCCTAACATTTAGTTGGAGAGTAGTAGAGGGCTGGACCCATTATTCCCGAACTTCGAATGCTGCAGTTGGTCCTAATGGTTTACTGTAGATGCATACAGTTATCAGAAAGAAAAAGTATGCCATACATTTCTCTTGTGCTGCTTCTTGTGGGATATTATGAGTACCCAATCTCTTAGATATCAACCATTTGGAAAACTTAAATTCCTACGAATATTTTTGGGCTATGATTTCTTTATCCTAGTAAGGATGCATTAGCTAGCACATGCTCTTATGATGGGGTGTCTGTGATCAGTGTGAGTTGGTTTTTTCTTAAAGATTCTCCTGAGTAATTGTAATAATCAGATTTGTTGATATTCCTAGTATTACTAAATGTTATCACACATTTAATAATTATCCAATTTGATGGAATTGTTTAATCTTGAAGAGAATCTTCTATAATTATGCATATTAGGTGTCTTTTTTGGTTTTATGCAGTCATTTATAACTTGATTGTTCTTGGACAATAATAGAAGGAAACAATGAGGAAAAACACCAATAGACAGTTTTGTAAGATTAACCAATATGTCACAATTTAAAAGTTCATATGACAAAAAACACCAACTTGTAACTTGCTTTTATTTGAAACCCATAATTTACATTGAACTAAGTAAAAGAAAGATTAGGAAAGGTAAGTTCCATCGAGCAGTTGTTAAACCAACTATGTTGTATTGGTTGGAGTGTTGGTCAGTCAAGAACTCGCATTCTAAGAAGATGAAGGTAACATAAATGAGGATGCTTAAATGAATGTGTGGGCACATTAGAAGAGACAAGATTAGAAATGAAGATGTATGAGGCCAGGTGGGAGTAGCTTCATTGGTGGACAAGATGCGGGAAACAAGGCCAAGATGGTTCGAGCATTCGAAGAGGAGGAACACAAATGCCCTAGTGAAGAGGTGCGAGAGGTTGGCAGTGATAGGTTTGAGGAAAGGTAGAGGTAGATCGAGGAAGAATTGGGGAGATGTGATTTTACAATAGATGAAACATCTTCAACTAAGTAAGGATATGACTTTAAATAGGAGAGCATGGAGGTCGAGGATCAGGGTAGACGGTTAGTAGGTAGTTGAGCATTTTCTCTCTTCCTCGTGGTAGAGCAGGGTTCTAGTCTGGAGTATCTATTTGTTTCCTTACCAGTATTATCCCACTGTCCCAATTTGACACAAAGTTTAAGAAAAAAAAAAGGAAGACTTTTGAAACTTGTGGTTTAAAACAAACCTTAGATATTTGTGTGACGGAAAATCAATTTGTTAGGGGTAAAAGGGAAATTTTAAAGTTGTTATTTCTAATTGTAGAAAAGTGACATTTTTTTGAGGACACACTAAAAAGTCAAGTGTGTCACATAAAATTGGGACAAAGGGAGTATTATTTTGCTAGCATACCTTGTTCTTCTATTTTATTTCTATTGTTGTTTCTTTTACTTTTGTTATCTCTAATCATTTTACTGTCAATATTTTTCTTTTTTCCATATTTTCATAATAGCATTTTACTCTTGCATTTCTTTCAAACCATGTTCTGAAAATTGATTTTTCTTGGGAACCATGGATTTTTATCTGTAATTTGCTACCTTTGATGCAGTTAACAAATTCTCTCCCAGAGGCCACCTCAAGAAGCAACTTGCATCTAGACAGCTAGCTTCCTCTCCTGGATCAAACACTTCAAGTTCTAGTCTTCGAAGGCCATCTTCATCAGGTGGATATAGCTATTAGACATATGGTATGTACATTCTTTTCACCTTCCTAGATGATCTATCTTGTTGGCCTTCTTGTTCTCATGGAAGACTTGCCGACCATTTGCTTTATCATTTGCTCAAGTCGTTGATTGTACTTGCCTCATAATTAGCCCTACAAAGACAAAACACCATAAGAAGAATCTATATATCGATATAAAGTTGGATATAGAAAAGATGATGTGACATCTCTCAATGACCTTCATTGACATTTATCTATTTTCTCCCTTTTTAAAAACATTTTTTCCTATTTTTCTTATTTATAATGTATTCTATATATATATATATATATAAAGAACTCAACAATCACTCATGCATTTAATTCTCTTAATTTTGTTTAGTATTCAGTTTTATTCTCTTAACTAGTTAACTAAATCGCGCGGTCCTATTTTTCTATATTAAATTGATATAAAAATTAAGAAATTGCAAATCTAACAGAAAAAAACAATAAAAGAAATAAGAAAAAAAACAATAGAATTA